CTCTCTCTCTCTCTCTCTCTCTCTCTCTCTCTCTCTCTCTCTCTCTCTCTCTCTCTCTCTCTCTCTCTCTCTCTCTCTCTCTCTCGCCCGTCCCTACCTGCTCGCCTTTTTCTTTTCCTTATCTTCCTTCCCCCGTGCCTCCCTTCCACCTGTCCGATTCAACCTTTCAACTTGCACCCACCATCAGCCCTTCCGACCTTCCTACCACCAATCCACTTTTCCCCCTCCTCTTCTCTCCTTGCCCTGTTCCTGTTTACCTCTCTTCTCCCGTGTTTCTCTACACGCCTTTCTCTCCTCCGTTGGGATCCTCTTCGAGCTCCTGCTCTCCAGTACTCGATGTGGCCCCTGAGGGTCTCCTATGTCCTTTCCTCTCTTCCTCTGTCTGTCGCTCTTTCTCTGTTCATGGCTCTCTCTCCACCACCTGCTTATCCACATTTACCCTATCCCTTCCGTCAGGCCCTTCGTCATTACCCTGCTCTCCCCTTTCTCCCTCCGCCTTGACCCCCTCCCTCTTGCTGCGTTCCAATCTTCTCTCTTCCTCACTTGTCGGGATCCCCCTACACGACCTCCACTCCTTACCCTGTCGCTTTGGCCTTCTTTCCTCTGCACTTCATCGGTTCTTATATCCTCACCCTATTGGCTGGCATTCCCACTTTCTCCTCCTCTCGATCCCACATCCTGAATCGCCCCCTCCAAATCCGCGCTGCCCATCCCCTTCTTCGCAAACCTGTCCCCGATCTACATCCTCCTCCTATTCACTTTAGGACCCTCTGCGACGCGTCCGTCCTCCACAACCTCCTTAAACGCCGGCAAACTCCCCCTGCATGCTTAATCTTATCGCTGTGACCCTCCTTCTGATTCCTCTGGTGTCGCATATACCATTCTGACCGACCAAATCCCAAGTCTCCCATCATCCCGACCGCGCATCCTCCCCCTCCCCCTCCGTGTCCAGCCTCTCAAGATTTCGACAGCGACCCTGTCCTGCCTACCTGACCAGGCACTTGACCTACCCCTAATGTTCCTTCTCCGCCTGCCTCTCCGCATTCACGGCATAATCCCCGCCTACTCCCTTCCGATAGCGGCCGTGCACAAATCCTGTCCTACATCACACCCCCACAAAAATTGAGTTGCAGCCCTAAACGTGGAGAGAGGGAGGAGGGAAGGAGACATGTAGGGAGGGAGGGAGGGACGGAGGGACGGAGGGACGGAGGGAGAGAGAGAGAGAGAAGGGGGGGTGGAGGGTCACTTGGCGCACACCGGGTGAACCCACCTATTTGGTTTCTTGGCCGAATGTGAACTGAACTCTCAACCTCTTCACGCACACCGCTAAGAAAGGGAGGCAGGGGGAGGTAGGGACGGTGCACTTCCCCACGCCACGTGGACTCGCCAAATTTCCTTTTCGGAGTGTGAATGAATTCTCCACAACCTAGAGACACAACAACGCAGGCACCGCGAGAGAGATCGAGACAGAAGCTGCGCTTCCGCACGCCCTTTCGCACAAGGCTCCGCCTGCCCATCCCCCCGCCGGCAGCACGAAAAAACCCAAGGCGACTGGCCCGACATAACAAATGTGCTTTTGAAAAGTCAATGGGCCTAGCACAGTTGTGACACCCATGAAGTGTCGAATGCAAAGTTTGGCGGTAAAATGGGAGGTTTTCATTGGAGGCCGCAGGGAGGGGACAGGTTTTCATTGGAGTCCGCAGGGAGGAGGCAGGTTTTCATTGGAGGTCGCAGGGAGGGGGCAGGTTGTCATTGGAGGCCGCAGGGAGCTCCACTGCAAAACTACGCGTAGTTTTCCTCTTTGGTGGATGTTTCGAAAGGAAAAGTGGTCACGTTCGGAGGACGGGATCGACGGGCGCCCGGTAGCGCTCCGTGATACGCCGCCGGTAGTAGTTTTGCCGGCGCTCTTTCGTCACTTTCCTGCGTTCACAGCAGGGAAGGGAGGCGGCCACCACCTTACATCACTTGTTGATGTCAACCATAGCCGGGCGCTTGGGAGGTATAGGGGCCGGTAAAGAGTCTCTATGAAGAAGGCTAGAACCTATGAGAAGGATGTTAACTGGCGAGCGCCTTACGGCACCCGTCGAATCTCCAGTTAGTATTAGAGAATGGGATGAAGGAGGTTTGAGATTTAATCTGTCTGATGTTCTTGGAAGATAGACGGATTGGTTTACCGGCTCTAAGTGACCCTATCCCCGACTCTTCAAGACATCCAAGAGATCAGTATGGAGGCTACCGAGGTAGAGACGTTTTCGTCTCGGCAGAGCCAAAGGGAGATGGTTTCCCCTCGTCAGGAGGCCTACGATGCTGGCGACAAGTAACAATCAACAGTGATGAAAGTTGGTGCAACAAGAACGAATCTCGAAGGATTCATGAAGCTTGAGGGTATAATCCTACTCTTGTCCCTCCTCTCTGTTTGGCTGTATGCATCGTTTTTTGTTCAGTTTCTTGAGCCTCACAAGAAGGAAAGTTGTTTGCACAATATTGGTTTAGGAATTGGAGGGGCTTGGGGGGAGGTGTCGCGGAGGTTATTAACAATGGCGTCACCATCGGATCCGGAGGAGGATCGTATTAAACTTTTGGTGGAAAAATGTATAGAGGATGGGATTTTTCCGGAGGGGTTAGACCACGGTACTGTTGTTATTGATGGGCGATCGGCCAAAATTACATTGAATTCGAAGGTTGATGATGTGGTTGTCAGATGGCTGAAAGAAAGGACGGTGGTGATTATTTCTCAAACCGAAGCGAAAGCGTTGCCAAACAAAATCAAGGAGATGTTAATTCGGATTTATGAAGATGGCTGGTGCAATAATCCGGTAGTGAATCCATTGTTGAAGAGGGGGAGAATTAAGTATGAGGGGGCGAATGTGTTTTCGTATGTAGCGACTACTAAGGATATTGCCGAGTTTATGGTTAATAAGGGTACAAATACGATCATCTTCAGAGATCCGAATGTCTCCGCGGCTCCAGATATTCAGTACACTGTCCAATTTTGGAAATGGGCAACCAAAAAGGAATTGGATGAACGAAGAGCTCAGGAGGCTGCAGGCAAATTTTGGGTTATGGCAATCAGAGTCTCACTTAGGGCTATGTTTCATCTTCATTGGGCCGTTGAAAACTCTATGGCTAAAATTCTGAAGACGTATCCTCCACAAAAGGACAACCATTTTCCTCGGTTGATGAACATTAAGATGGATCTTGCTCCCGAAGCCAGACAAACGTGGAAAGAAAAGTTGGAATTCCAAAAGGATGGGGAAGAATTTAAGCTAAAGTTTGTCTCTCAAGCAACTGAGTGGTGTAAAAAGTGTAAATGGTTTTATCACACGGAGGACAGTGTGGCGTGCCCTCATCACCCCCAACACTACACCACAAAAGGGACCTCGTCCGCAGCCAATTTTGGCCCCTCGCAAAGGCAAAAAGGGTATCAACCTGTAGGTCCCTCCGGATCGAAGGGAGGATTCCCCCCCCCGGTAAACCTCTCACAAACAGCTGCCTCGCAGCAGCACCAACCATTGGCAGCCTTGCCCGCACATGTACAACCAGCTGGTAATCACCCCCCTCCATGCCCTTCTCAGAATGTTCACGGTACGACACCACCGGTTTGGAATTTGGGCCTAACCCCGCTCCAGGATTCTTTCCCACACAGGCCGTGTTCTCAGAGCAGCAATCACAGCACCAAGCCCAACCCTCCTCTTTTCCTACAGGATTTACCGGGTCTCCTACGTTTGCATTCCCAGGAGGGGGGATTGTGTTGGGTCCGGGTCTATTTAACAGGAAGTTTGCTATGTCAGGTCCCGTATGGGGTGGTGGGTCACCAACGTTCAGCGGTACACGGAACAATCCAGTGTGCGAACCTGAACCACCCCCACCAGGAGTGTCATCGCAGCCGATGGGGAACACGGTAATGCCCTGTACGGGAGGGACCGGCACGTTCACACAGAATGGGTAGTCAATAGCTAATGCAACAGGCACGTCAGCTCCCTCG